GCCTTATAAACCATGTACAATTTTTTTCTGTATTATCATTATACAGTATGGGTATTCCTAAGTGCAAAGGTAACAGAATGGACCTGGTACATTCGAAGCGAGATTTGGATGGGACTGTGATTGGCAGCTGGTGGCGCCAAGGAACATTTGACCAGAATTTGCAGCATTGGCCGGCAGGCGCGGGGCCCACGCACAAAGATTCCGATCGAAGGCTGTTGCACCGCCGAACATCTCGAACATACTGCTGACGGAAGAAACATCCCAGGATGACAAGTCTTGATTGAAGGATGTTGCTTGCTTGAACATATAACTCATATCTGTCACGGAAGAAACATTCCAGGATGACAAGTCTTGATTGAAGGATGTTGCGGAAAAGAACATCCAACTCATATCTGTCACAGAAGAAACATCCCAGGATGACAAGTCTTGATTGAAGGATGTTGCTTGATAGTAGAACATATAACTCATATCTGTCACAGAAGAAACATCCCAGGATGACAAGTCTTGATTGAAGGATGTTGCGGAAGAGAACATCCAACTCATATCTGTCACGGAAGAAACATTCCAGGATGACAAGTCTTGATTGAAGGATGTTGCTTGATAGAACATTTCGCTCATATCTTTCACAGAAGAAACATCCCAGGATGACAAGTCTTGATTGAAGGATGTTGCGCGAGAGAACATCCAACTCATATCTGTCACGGAAGAAACATTCCAGGATGACAAGTCTTGATTGAAGGATGTTGCTTCATTGAACATGGAACGCATTTTTGTCACAGAAGAAACATCCCAGGATGACAAGTCTTGATTGAAGGATGTTGCGGAAGAGAACATGGAACCCATTTTTGTCACAGAAGAAACATCCCAGGATGACAAGTCTTGATTGAAGGATGTTGCGGAAGAGAACATGGAACCCATTTTTGTCACGGAAGAAACATTCCAGGATGACAAGTCTTGATTGAAGGATGTTGCTTCATTGAACATGGAACCCATTTTTGTCACAGAAGAAACATCCCAGGATGACAAGTCTTGATCGAAGGCTGTTGCTTGATAGAACATATAACTCATATCTGTCACAGAAGAAACATCCCAGGATGACAAGTCTTGATTGAAGGATTTTGCGGAAAAGAACATCCAACCCATATCTGTCACGGAAGAAACATCCCAGGATGAAATGTCCTCATTGAAAGTAGAACGCAGGTAGAACAGTTGATACATACTGGTCACACCTGGACCAAAACACCAGTCTCCAATAGGGCCATGTGTGTTCTCAACTGCTACCTTTGACTGAGAAGACTGAAACCAGTTCCCAACTGCATCAGAAAGCTCGTTATTGGATTGAAAACAAGTCACTGTTGATGTAGGTGTTGGTGGCAAAGTTGGCCCGGGTGTAGGTGCTGCAGTGGGTCGAGGGGTTGGTGAAGGAGTCGGTGCAGGAGTTGGGTTTGGTGTTGGTCCGGGAGTTGGGACTGGTGTTGGGGGCAAAGTAGGCCCGGGTGTAGGTGGAGTTGTGGGTCGAGGGGTTGGTGAAGGAGTCGGTGCAGGAGTTGGGTTTGGTGTTGGTCCAGGAGTTGGGAAAATTGTTGGTCCAGGAGTTGGGACTGGTGTTGGTCCAGGAGTAGGCTGCGGGGTCATGGTTGGAAGTGTCAGTTGCAAAGTAGTAGGCCCAGGTGACTCGTCTTCTATTCTGTTCGGAGGTGTCGCTGAATCAATGTATCCCAAACTCGTGACAGTAACTTTTTCATAGAGCCCACTTAATTCAAGTTTTTCAACAAGAACCCCATCTCCGAAAAAGGTACTGAGTTCTCCAATCACATCAACGGCATTCACTGACTCATCCTTCACCAAAACATCAAGCGCCACATTGATTCGATGACACCGTAGATTGAAATCATTCAAACATTGCTCTTCTTCGACTCCATAAGCATCAATTGCCACATTCCTAATGGCGTACATAAAGGAACCTTCTAGATAACGAAGACTTCGCATGTGCCGGACGACTCGATTGCATCCAGTTAGTTGAGGGGTCAGCAACTCTATCAACTTCTCCTCAATAATGTCGGCTGAAAAGCTAAGACTCATTGAAAGAAATGGAGTCGCATCGAGCTCAAGCTTGTATCTCTGCACCATCATGGCTTCTTGGCCTTGTATAGCAGCTCCGTCGGCGATGGATGCACAATCTTCTGCCGAGGGCGGGATAAGAAAGTCGACCGATGATGATGATGATGAATTGTTCCGAGTCCCAAGCCATGCTCCAACAGCGGCAATTGAAACAACACAAATAAAAAGTAGGCAGCAGAAGATTCGAGCGCTCTTCTTCTGTAACAATCGATCCCAGTTGATTGCACCACCTGCGTCTTCCTTGTCTTCTTCGTCTTCCTCGTCAGAGTTGACCTCGTTGGCGTCAGTTGTTCGTTCCACAGCATAAGCCGTCACGAGTCCATCCATATTCGTACTACCATGATCATGGAGTTGATCTCCCTTTTCAGCTTCAATTCTTGCTCGTCTCTCTTCTCGTCTCTCCTCCGTAACTGGCAAAGGCCTCCTACTGAATGTTCCTTTTCTCCTCTTCTTTTCATGATTATTGGACTCGTGGGCGCCAGGCACAAGTGCATTGGTACTTTGGATACTATTTGCCTCCTTATTCTTGCTTTTTGGATCTTGGTCACCAAATTCAGTTCCACGAGAGTCCGCATGCGCATCTGGCATAGGTCCAGTGATGGGTTCGTTTGGTCGATTCAGGATATCTCGAACAAGATTGGCTCGCTCAGTACGAGCCTTTTCCTTAGCCTCGTGTTCTTCTTTGCTTCTCTTGGTTCTACGAGGTTCATTATTCCTCTTTGTACCGGTGCTTTCCTCATTTGTAGTAGCAGTATTATTAATATTACTAATACTGCTACTATTGGTTACGCTTTCCTCAGAGGACTGGTTCATGGTGTTGCAATCGTCTTTCAAACGCAACGCGATTTTTTGAGAATGATGAATATATGCGGCGTCCGCAAATAAAATGCAATATTTTGGGAAATTTGTGGGATGCGGGTCATCAGTCGCGTTATCTCAGGCGTAAGTATGGTCGTAGAAAAAAAGAGTGCATGGCAAAGGAAGACCACGATGCTGCATTTTACTTATGGGAAATTACCCGGCAAACCATCCCTTTGCGATTCAAGAGATTTCTTCTTCGTACAGCCAAGCTAAGGAGTACGGTATCGTACGTGTACCTACGAGAAGGGAGAGGCCTGCGTGATGCGGTGGGCTGAAAATATTTTATCCGATCATCATGCGCCGATCATATACCATCTTGCCAGCATTCTTGGTGGAAAGACTAATACGCCGCTCCAAAACGATGTAGCGTCAGTCAACATTGACTCCACATTGTTGAATCGAATCATAATCTTCAGGCAGACCGTTCCTTCAAGATGGAGCACTTCGAGTTCCACCACGGCAGCGGGAAAGGCATCGTTCATTCGCACAACAACAACAAGAAGTTGCACTCCTGTTAATGCTAACGTCGTCAAGTGTCGTATAGCTCTTCGATTTTGAGGTGAAGGAACTCATTCGAACAGGAAGCATCATCGGCGTATCCAAAGAAGCGCACCTACGAAGCGACGGTTGTTCAGTAGGTACATCTTTGACGTGGTGGTGGACCATGAGAGCTGCGGGCGCGGGTCTTCGTGGAAGTTTCACGGAGGAGGGCAATGTTCTAGGATGCCCCGCAGCCCTTGACTTTGGGTTACTCTTTCTTGTTACATTGGTAGCACTCCACTTGTCGCTTTTCAGCAGCCGTTGTGAGGGTCGTCCATTCATGTCACCAGCCACGGTGGTGGTTGAATTAGAATTGTTGGCGAGGCCTTCGACCCATCCCGTAAGACGGACTCTTTCCGAGGGACTGGAGGACCACCGGCACATCTTGAAATTCTTACTCGTCGTATGGATGGACAAGACCGCTGCTGGTGGTTTTCGGTGAACCTTTTATAGCATTTCTTGGATACTCGTGCATTGTCGTTCACAATTTGAACTTCCAACAAAGATACGGTAACATTCTGTTCCTTGAGCAGACATGTTGTCAAGATATTTTTTTGGGTTCTGTGTGAAAGGATTTTATTCCTGAATTCTGTGTTTGGGAAGAAATGTGGTCGAGTACCGGTACGTAGTAGAGCAACGCGGAACTCCGTAATAGTTTGCAATTATTATAAATACAACATGTCTCTGTATGCAGTATTGCAGCATGGTCATATGCAACAACTCGTGAACTCGTGAACTTTAAGTTTAAAAGGAGGACGATGAAAACTTTAACGAATCGTCACACCTGACATTTAGATACAAAGTTTTGGTTGGCAAGAATCATCAATCTGCTTCGTCGGCACGAGAACAAAAATGATGGTTCCGCGAGTGTATTCAGAAATCATTCGGATGGTCAAGGCCACGCGTCACAGGTAGAGAACCTCTAAATGTGGAACCTATTTCATCCGCCAACTATTCCGATGCTTGTTGTTTTACGTGTGCTCGCGAGAACGTTGTAAAGCACTCATCCTTGTCGATGCTTACGAAATCATACTATATAATCTATTCTTGGTCTTGGCTGTCCAGAGAAGTCGTACTATTATCTTTGGTTTTTTATAATAATATATGTCTTTGTGGTAACAGAATGACATGCCGTCATCGTGCATTCGTCTCCAAGATCTGTATGGCGTCCAGCCCAGCAGCACATGCTCCAAGATTTCGCAGAAGCCACGACGAGATAAGGCTCAATTCGCCTCGGAAGCATGCGACAATCATTGCATTTCGCAGAGGATGCGGCAAAGCAACAAGGTAAAAGCGCTGGCTGGTTCTATAGCAGGATGGTTCGATTCCATTCGGTCGACGGTGGTTGTCCACTACGCCACTGTTTTTGATGACATATCTCGTGGGAATGGTGGATGGTTTGTGCTCCTGCTGGTCAATGATGATCGATTGTGATTCTTGCTTCAAGCAAGTGGCTGTAGTGGAGTGGCGGCCCTATACTATCCAAATCGTGTATTTGCACAAGAAGTGCTGCTGGTGGCACTGTTCATGCTGACCTTGTCAAGTGTTGTATAGTCCTTTGATTTTGAGGAAAAGGAACTCATTCGAATGGGAAGCATGATTGGCGCATCCAAAGAAGTGCACCTCCGAAGCGATGCTGGTTGTTCGGCAGCAGGAGGTGGATGGTCTCGTTTGGGGACCAGCATGACAGATGCAGACGCGGATCTTGGAAATTTCGCAGAGGGAGGCACATCGGCAATCGATTGTGGCCTGCTGCTGACATTTGTAACAGTTGTAACAGGTGTAGCACTCCACTTGTCGCAATTTAGCAGCCTCGTGGTCCTTGGTGCTGGTCTACTTGTAGTAGTAGTAGTATTCAGCATGGCACCAACAGTCATCTTTGTAGTAGGGCTTGAATAGGAATTGGAATGACCATTCAATCTGCTTTGGATTGAGGTCGTAGGACTTGAGGACCATCGACAAGTCTTGGAACTCTTGCTCGCGCCGATGAACCTCCTTGTTGTGGTATGGTTATTTTTGGAGGAGAGTCTTGCATTATCGTCTACAATTTGAACTTCCAATGATGACACAGTAACATTCTGTTCCTTGAGCAGCCTTGTGAAGTAGTCTTGAAGTGGTGGTGAATGCATACTGTTTGATGATGTGAGTTATTTTTTAAGAGTTGTGTGCAACAAAGGATTATGCTGATAAGAGCCAGACGAACGAACGAATAATGTGGTCCTATGCAGTATAAGAACAAAATCATTCGAATTGTTTCGCATGCGAATTGTGCATATCAGTGATTCGAGCATGGCCATATGTAACAACACACGAGCTAGGTTGAATCTTCGGGAAATTTACAATACGAAAACTTCTCCTCGAACAGAAATTATCCGCTAAATCGACATCCGGTCATTTTTCTTAAAAGAGTGCTTCCAACATATTCAATATGTGATGCTGGTTCATTAATCACCAACAACCTTGGCGGCATTTGTGATTTCTGAGTATCATTGATTCCAGCAAGGCCATATGTAACAAACGCGAACAGGGTTCAAACTTCGATTGAATTTTCAAATTTGCGGGAAATTTACCCTTGCAACAACACGTGGTTCAGACGTTGTTCCCGACGGCATCCAATATTATAAAATACAGTATTATAATAATACCTATTACTCTATAATTTTGATCGGCACAGACAGAAGACAACGCATGGGGCATGCCTCAATGCTATCAGTCAGTGAGGGACGGTTAGCGGACGGAGGAATGACGAGGCGAGCGTTGAGGATGAAGAAGACGGAAGGTTGGAGATACGACATTGTTCGCAATGAGAAGAGAGAATGTGAGATGATGGAGACAGTAGAAGGGGAATAGCTGCATGGTCAAGACTGTCAGATTTTGCTGTTTTCTCTCATTTGCACCATTGCTCGGTATCTACT